AGTGTTAGCCTTATCTGCAATGTATTTCATTTGGCCAGTAAGCTGAGAATAATAACAGGCCACATTTATGCAGGGAACATCTACTTCTGCAGCTCATCGGCTGACCCTTCAGACAGCTATCAACAACAGGCAATGGCCAAGTGACATCCAAGTTTGAGACAGAGTGGGAAGAATTGTCCCCTCAAGCCACCCCGCCCATTGCCATGCCCTGCACGCCCCAGCAGAGTATGACCCCAGGAAGCACAGGGCAGCCCAGACACAACAGCAGTTTGCTGGTGGTGGAGCCCTTTCCCAGAGAGGCTGTATGCTGGGAACAAGCTACGTACTTCCTGCCGCTCAGTTTAATTGTAAACGGACATCCACGGGGGTCCACCTCGAAGGCAGCGGGCTTGCTGCTGGCTGCGGGCCGGCACCCATACTTGCAGTGAATCAAGAGCTCCCCGATCTGCTCGGCCACTGCGATGTTGTTCACCACTACGGTCAGTTTGGCGTTGTCCACGGGGCACTTCTCTGCCAGGCAGGGAAGAAAAAGAGAGAGTGAGCAAGCGCTGAGACACTGCAGATTTTATTCTTTTGCCTTCTCTGGCCAAGATGGCCAGCACTCAGGTGGGTGGCAATGGGACAAGCCATGAATATTCACACAAGGTCTGCAAACCACTGTCTCTGGTTTGTCTTGGGGCTTGGTGAAAAGTTACGGTTTACGTTAATCCATGATAATCTGACTGCAAACTAGCAAATGCCCCATCCATAACCCGTTCCCCCACCCAGGCCGGGGGCTCAGCTCCTCTGCTGCCAGGGATGCTGCAGCGAAGCAAAGACATGAGCTTTGAGGGCAGGAGCAAAAGTGAGCAACTCGGGATTGCAACCACAAAGCCTTTTGCTACTAACCTGTCGACTGGGATAGATATAGCATGACATGGTGACAGAGGGTCAGCATGCACAAGAAGGGACCCCTCACATATGGAAGACGAACATCTTAAGGCAAAAAGAGCTGCTGTTTTGCTGGACTCCCCAGGGAGCCTTTCCTGGGCTCGCTGTTCTGGCAATACGAATGGCTTGTCTTTGTGCTGAACAACGGCTTTCCAAAGGGAGCACTGGCTCGTGCCAAATAAAGTATTTTTTGTAGCACAGCATCCAAACCAAGTGGGAGCTGGCTAGGCCAGGCCAGCAGCCAGACACTTGGGCTCCACCAGGTTTCTGGAAGCGCTGGGTGAATTTAAACAGCTCAGTGTGCTGCCGCGGAGGGGCTCGGTCAGCGGGCAGAGAGCTGGCACTAACGGGATGCAGGAGGAGGGGTTTGATGGGTCTCTGCCAAACACAGCCCCCGTCTTCCTTAGACAGGCAGCCACAGAAAGCTTTGTGCCTGAAATCAATGGGTCAGCGCTGGGCTGTATTATCCTGGGATTATCCATTGCATATTCCAGGATTTGAGAACATCCTGTGCCCAAGAGCTGGGCCTAGCCCTCTAGTGTCCATGCCACTGAGCTCCCAGCTGCACAGCCACCCGTGCCCCAGCCCCTCACTGCTGCAGCGGCAGCCTGGGACCGACAGCTTGATTTAAGCCCTTCAGACATCCTTCTGCGGGTTTCTTTTTAAGTGAAAGCAAACAAACCAGAAAATAACAGCCTTTTGGCTGCATCACACAAGAACAGTTCTGTACTCACCAGATGTTAAGGCACATCTTCTACAAAATGTGTGCTGTGGAGACAAAGAGGAACAGCAGTGTCAGCACAAACAATATCGGACAAATTATTCCCTGCAGCTAACGATGGGAAAGAAAGGTGGGAGATACCAAAGCCCGGGGCACAGGGGCCTCAGCAGCTGTTCTGCCTGCTTTAGAGCTCAGCAGGCTGTTGAGTCTCTGCCACAGGGCAAAAACGAGCTGCTTGCTCAGGCAGCTCAGAGTGCAACGCAGGTCCTGCTCCTGAGGAGTGTTAAGCACACGCGGTTTGAAGCTCTGAGGGTTCTGCCCTGTTCAGGATCAGGCCATGGTCATGGTGCCAGCCAAAGCCACAGATGTGTTCTGTCACACTGATACTCCTACCCTCCAAGTCTGCATGGGGTCTCTCTACTTCGCCGTCTGCTTTAGTCCATGTCATTCCTTTCCTTTCCCTGAGAAGTCCTCAAGGAGATGAGCACAGGGAAGCCTGGCCTCTCCCCATCCTTGGCCAGTCAGCCCATCACATAGATCCCTCTGTAGCTCTTCTACCATAGCTGAAGCTGTCCTGCTGCCAGGTGGATGGGACAGCTGGTTTGTAAAAGAAATGCACTGTATATTTTCCCACTTTAAATACCTCTCTATCTCTCTCCATCCTTCCAGCAGAAATGTATAGTAATAATTTAACTTGCTAAAGTAGCAAATTCAATCTACCATGCTAATGAATTCAAAGAAAGGAACAAAGACTGCAGCATTCACTGGTCCTGATCTTGCCCTGTGTGTTCCCTGGAGCCTCCTTGGCCACATTCCCCTGCCACAGGGCTTGGCAGCAGCACTGGAGAGGCTGCAAGTCACTCTTCAGAGCTGTTATCTGCTGCCCTGCTCACGCAGCCTTTTCCTGCCCTGCACAGCTGCATGGTGCTCTCTCCAGAGCTGCCAAACCAGGGCTGCAAATGAAGCCAGTCTGCTTCCTGCAGCAGACTTTTTTTCCCCATATTAACCAGTAAATCTCAGTGTCTCCATGAAGAGCTGCTCACTGAAATAGTGCAGCGAAAATGCACCAACTCCCAACACCTTTGGGGACAGCACCCTCACTGCAATAAACAATCCCACTCTCTGCTTTTGTTGCTACAGCTCCATCCTAGCAATCACAAGCACGTCAGATGCATTAGAGCCACAAAGCCATCTTTCTTCACATATAGCACAGAAGCAGGATTAATATACAGCTTCTATTAAATCCTGGTAAAATGGAATATAGAAGAATATTCATAATACGCTGTGCCTTTCATTAGAGGATGTCAAATCCCTTTGCAAGCATTAACTAAATGAAGCTTCAAGCCATTCTTGTTTTATAAGAAACATTTTCTTCACAACTGAAGAGCAGCCAGTCCTGAGGTGCCCAGGAGGCAGCAGCACTCTGCAGAGCCCCTCGGGACAGGGAACGAGGAGTCTTAGACCTCACTGAAACCACACTAAGGAGCCTGAATTTGGCCAGGGAGGCTGACAGTACAGCTCTCCTGGGAAAAGCAGCCCAATTTTAAGCAAGCCCCAGGCTTCTCCGGTTAACTGCAGAGTGCCCCGCACCTTCCACTGCAGACTGGTTCTAACACATGTCCATCAGCATCTCTGCTCCTACGCTGGCCTGGCTTCCTGGGTCAGAGGCTGCCTTGTCTTTGCTCACTCAGGCTGACAGTCACTGGGACAGTCACTGGGGACAGTCAGAGCTTTGCTATAGGTAACATAGGACGTCTGTGGAGCCCACACTCATGATTTGGAAGAGTACTGCCTTACCCCACAGGTTGTGATGACCGGATCCTTAAACACACTACAGCACAGCTGGCAGCACAGCTTCACGGACGGTTGTTCAGAAAACACCAGTGGCTCCTGAAGAGGAGGAGAGAAAGGGACAGAAAGAGCACAAGGATTAGTCCAAATGCTAGAGCCTCCAGCTCTGCAGAAGGAACAAAACAACTCTTCAGCCATGAGCCTTAGGCAGCCTGCGGCACATGGCATGCTAAGGATTTCATTATAATGAAATAAACTTTTGTCTGGATCTGTTGAGCTCCAGTATCCAAGAGGTAAAGGAAGAACGAACTTCGGAGTGGCTGGAGACCCTCAGCTCATCACAAACTGGCGGGCACCAGCGTCTGGCAGGATCAGGACCCGACAGCAAACTGCACAGACCAACTTCTTTGCCAGAGTGACTCGAGTCACCCAAACTGCGTGAGCTGCACTGTTTGGTACTTTTTGCTTGGTTGGACTAAGCGTGCATTGTCAAAATGTCCTCCATACTAAGCCTGAAGTTTAAAAGCAATTTTAAAACAGCTTGTGCTTTTGTATTTTTGAAACATCCTGAAAGAAGGGCTCTTTCATTCCCTTATGAAGCAGAAACAACATTCTTTCTGCTGCAATGGGCCCATCTCTCCAGTTTTGTTTACCAGCTAAGACTGCTGGAGCGCGGGCTCGGAGCACATCCTCCCGGAGCAGCACAGCCTCCACTCCATGCCAGAGCAGGGCTCATTTCAGAGCATTTCAAATCAATCACTGCAGCTCGGGCTGTCTTTTCATCCTGTGCTCCTCTCAGAAATGCAAACACAGCCCCCTGGGTTCCTAAATATGAAACACTTTTATCCCAGATCTGTGGCAAAATGCCGCCTGACCTTTTACGCATCCAGTCTGGAGTTAGTTACTGGGTCACAAGCTAAGCTCAGCTTAAAAGTGTCCTCCCCCAACAAGAGTCACATGTGGACAATTCCTTGCACCCTCCTGGGGCTTACAATCACATCGGTGGGGTGCCACGCAGCCCTAAATGCAGAATGGGGCTCTGAGTCCGTGGGGAATTGTATTAATCTTGCTGCCTGGGGCTGGACCACCAGCCTGAAGACTTGCAACCCCCTACAGCTCTGCAGCGGAGCCGGGGAATCACACAGGGCTCTGCAAAGACTCTCAGTTTTTCTGAGAAGCAGAAAAGCCTCACCACTGTCTCCTCTTTGTAGACAGGGAAACGGTACACAAGGAAGCAAAGTAACTTGCAGAAGTCAATGGTGGAAACAAAATTAAAATCAGGAGTCCTGCCAGCCAGGCTTTTAGTTGCCAGACATCATGAAAAATCTGCCCATGATAGCTCTATGGACTCACAAGAGTCCACTAAGTTACTCTTGTGACACTGAACTTCCTAACACTGCTCCTTCAGACAATCCCAAATACCTACTGGCTCCTCCTCTTCCTCATGGAGTGAGAACGTCGAGCGCAAGGACATGTTGGACTCAGAGTGCAATGAACGGACGGAGATAGCAGAGTCAGAGCGGCGCGGGGTGCTGATCGGAGGCTTCAAAGAGATAAAAACCAGTTCTTGTTATTGCAAATAATTCCCCCCCCACTCCAAAACCCTACACACAGAGACTTCAAGTTCAGTCCCTCCCCTCCACAAAACTCAGCTGCTCCATCTGTTCATCCACTCTGCCAAGCTGCATCTAGTGGCCCCCAGGAGCTGCTGTGTGCCCTTCCCGGCGCCCGGGAATGCTGCACTGCGCTCGGAGACAGGACAGGCAGCACTCGGGTTTAACTTACTAAACCAAACTGACATCTACATTCCAAGCACGTAACTTTCTCAAAGGTGCATTTGTTTGTATACTTACCGTGCGCACCCGCAAAGCAATGGTTTGGAAGAATTAATCCTTCACAGAAAGCTTTGTAAGTCTCCCCCAGAGGCAGCTACCAGCTTCTGCAATTTCTATAATCTCTGCAGCAGCACTTGTTGTTTCACTCGTTATCTAACTTCTGCCAAATTTCTTTGCGTAAGTGTGGAGACTTCCTTCTATTCAATTCAGTAACAGACTGGCTTTGTCGCTTCCTGCTCGGGAGGGGAGAGCTAAGTGGACACTGCATGCACCAATCAAGAAAAATCCCACTGGTTACGGCGGCCTTGGGATTGGCTTTGAGGGAACGCTGCCGCTGGAATATTAACGAGCAGCACATCTCTAAGGGCGGAATATCAACCAGCAGCGCGTCGCCAAGACGCAATTCGGTGTCAAAGCGAAACCGGAGACTCTTCAGACCACGGGGTGATGGGATTTGGGGGTCTAGAACAGGCGGCAGCACAGTCGCTGCTGGGTTCCTCTGGAAGAAATGCTGCTGGCAGAGTAGAAGAGTGCAGAGAGAAGTTGTCAAGGAGAAGAACGGATGGGCTGACAAAGAAATGGGAAAATGAAGCCATAAGCTTCACATGCTGAGCATCGAGAGCTGACCAATGCCCAGGCTGCCTGCACCCACACGTATCACACCCATACGTGGCTTGATTGTAGCCTACAGCAGTCAGAAACTCTCAGAAGTGCTGGCTGGAAGGAGCTCTGGAGATCGCCAGCACTGCTGCCCGCTCAAAGAGGGACCCTCCCTGGACCTGGACCAGGTCAGCCCCAGCACTGCCCGGCCAGAATGGGGAAAGCCGCGTGGATGAGACTCTGCCGCCCCAGGTTCCCATCCTGCACTACCCTGTGAGCAAAATGATTTTTTGTCATGTTCAATCTGAACCTCACAAGCCACATTTTGTGTGCTTGCCCTGGATGACAGCGTGTGGCATCAGAGCCAAGGACAGACAAAAGCACAGCAAGAGGCAGTGGGGCAGTCGGGAAATTCAGCAATGAAAGATGTAAGCTGAGCTTCAGAGACTGCTGTCTTCCCCAGAGTGAGACTACACCGCAGTCTGGTCACAGTCCTCGCTGGGCTGCAGAAGAGGAGCAGACCAGGATCCTGCTGGTTCTTCACACTGCTCTGCTTCTTAATTTTTATGATACCGGGATCCTAGGACATCAGAAGTGCTGCATCTGCTTAGAAGCCAAAGCATAAAGCTCTTCTTCTTAAAGAAGGCGTATTTATTGGCTAAATATGCAAACCTTGAGAAGGAAGGGTTATAACGAGGTAAATCAATTTTATGTGTATCCATTACTTTTATTATTTTCCTCCACTAGCAACAGAAGTTATTAAAATAACAAGAATGACGGTGCATAGTTCCCCTTCTGGAGGTGATGCAGAGAACAGGGCAGCAAAGGCGGGCTCTGCAGGGAGGCAGTTTTATCAAGAGCAACATCCTGTGTGGATCAGGGACGGAGAGGAGGGGGGACTGCAGCCCAAGAGCACTTCCAGAAGGCAAGGGCCAGGCTCTGCTGCAGGGGCAAGGTGGCACAAGCGGCACTCCTTCGGCCAGGCTCGGGTCTGGGAGGATCTGTCAGAAGGGCCCCACCTCCTCAGAGCTGCGCCAGGGCTATTTCTGCACTAAACATCAAGCCCATCTTCAAACAACCTGAGGATGGAGATCTCAAACATCTTTTGATGGATAGCTTGTGGCTGCCCAGTAACTCAGTTCAGCCTCTGGTTCAGGGGTGAAGCCTCCTGTAAACAACCGAGACTCTGGACAGCCAGTCAGCTCTTCAGCTGTTAGTATACATTTGCCCCAATATTCAGCTGTAATCTTTAGGTGCAGTTCCCATCATGTGTCAGCTGCAAAAGCAGCCTCCACGTGAAGGATCTCGTGCAGTCCTTATTCCCACTCCCTGCAGGCATAGCGAGGCTGGGAACCGTGGCACTGTTTTCAGGAAAGATGACAGCAGCCGCCCAATAATCCCTGCCTTGCACACAGAACACGCTGCTCTGCTTTTGGCTTCATTAACAGAAGCTTTGAAAAGAAAGAAAAAGGAGTGGTGGAGGTCACAGGAGGGCTCTGACTCGTCTCCAGCTGTCTCTCTGATGACTGACAAGCCCTTGGCAGCTTCTGGAGAAGGGAAAACTTAGCCACGAGGAAGGGAAATCCCAGATTATTTCTTGACAAAGCAAAGGGAGCTTCCTAACAGGGTTAGGGAGAGTCTGTCTGGAGCAGCAGGCAGGGCAGGGCTGCAGTGTTTCTGCTTCGTTAGCACCTAACGCTGCAGGCTGCTTCCTGGACCACTCACTAATCCTCTTGCGATTTTTGCTTAAGAATATTTAGCACCCCAGGGAAGGTGGGCTGAGACTGTCCAAGAGGACTGAGGCTAGGTCCTAGGAAAGATCTCTCCTATTCTTGTAGATCTCCAGTTTGCCACACTGTAGTTTTCAAAGGAGTCAGGGAGCTTCTCCATCAGACATGACTAAATGTGATGCCCCCAGCACGCCCCACTCCTCTGGAAAAATCCTCACCTGTGCTCTGCGATAACTGCACAGCTCGTGAACAGGCTGCAGTGAGCACAGCACTCAGCCCACGGGATCAGTGCTGACAGCCAAGGGCTTCCTGGAACCGTGGCCCAGCACCATGGGGTCAGTGATGTGATGGAGAGTTGCATTTGCCAAGGACACGAGGCAAATGTTCAAAGGACTTTTTGAAAAAACAAACACATGCTCACATAAAACACAGCAAGATCTCTGAGCAACAGAAGGAACTTTATAGGATGCTGACAATGAAGCTCTTTGCAATCTGGTATCAAATTTATTTTAAGACGTGCTGTAGCTCCATGCTGCTGCTGACCCCAGTCTCTGCCAGTGCCTACCTTCAGCAGCAGCAGCGATCCATTTATCCCTGGCTTGGAAGCTAGGTCTTGTAACCTGACAAAGTCTACGACAACTTACTTAATTT